CCACGAACCCGTGCCTTGAATCACCGATAGGTGTTTCTCTAGCCACAACCGCACCTATTGAAACGAATAAAATTGCAATAGAGATCTAAAAGAAATCTAAGACAAAGTGTTTGAACAGAAGTTACGATTTTTATTGATAAAGTGAATGATGAAAATAACATAGGGAGAGGGCCTTTATATAGGCACAAAATATATCTAGTCCTAATCTACCTAGGGAACTAATAAAGCAATAAAATATTAGAAATCCTAATTAAGCTAGAAATCATAAAGGTAGATGGAAACTAAATCACTTGGTGTGCACTCCAAGTAATTATCACTCTTGCTCTCTCACGCGTTCGGCCGCCTCACGCACCGCCCTCGCGCCTTCGCACATCGCCCTAGTCCTCGAGGACTAGGGCACCGCTTTTCGCGCGTGCCTCGTCACCTGGCATGCTGTGTACGCTAGCGCCTGTCGTGCCGCCCTCGCGCGCGTGTTCGTCCGCTATACCGTATTCCTCAAGGACTGCGGCTTTGCGTCTCGCACGTCCTTCTCTATCAGGCGTGTCGCACACGCCTTCGCTCTTGGCTGCTCCTTTGCGCGCGTGCTGCCCTGCCTTTCCGCATGCCTCGAGGCATGAGGCCTCGTCCGCTGCGCGTGTCTTCCCTGCGCGCGCTCGTCAACCCCGCGCTACGCGCGTCCTGCTCACCTTCGCCAATCGCCCCTGCCGCGCACACTGCTCGCACATCCGCGTGCGGTCCATCTTCGCCCGTTCCGCGCGCACTACACTCCAGTGCGTGCACTTCCTCCGTCACCCGCGCTTGCCTTTTGCGTGCATGGTTAGCGCGACTCGCGACGTTTTTGAGCTGCCTAGCCACTTCTGCATCATTCCCGTCCCCTTCAATCGATTCCTTGTCCTCAAAGATGAAACTTGGGAACTGGTCGCACATCTCATCAAGGTCTTCCCACGTGGCTTCTTGTGGCGGTAGTTCTTCCCAATCAACTAGTACTTCCCAACGATAGCGCCCTACCTTCCTTACCTTAAGATACTCAATCGCTTGTTTTGGGCGTACGATGACCATCTCATCAGTCGCGGTTGCGGGTTACTCTTCACAGTATTTATGCGCTTCCCCTAGGCTTCTCTTGAGTTGTGAAACATGTATGACGGGGTGGATCTGAGAACTCTCAGGTAGTTCTAAACGGTAAGCTACACGACCAATGCGCTTCAGGATCTGATAGGGCCCATAGTATCGCACTCCTAGCTTAGTTGCTGCCCTTTGAGCTGTTGTGTGCTGTCTGAATGGCCGCAGCTTCAAGTAGACATACTCACCTGGCTCGTAATTCTCTTCCCGTCGCTTTCCATCTACAAAGGCTTTGGTTTGATTAATCGAGCCTTCGAGATTTTTCTTCAACTCGGGCAACATCAAGTCTCGCTCCTCTAGTTCTCGACCGACCTCATCGTTGACCGTGCCCCCTTCGGAGTAGCTGATTAGCGTTAGTGGTTTATGCCTGTACACCAACTCAAAGGGAGTCATCTTGGTCGACTCGTGGTAGGTAGTATTATACCAGTACTCAGCCCAGGGTAGAAAGTTCTCCCATCTCTTTGCGAATTGATGAACATAACACCGTAGGTACTGCTCAAGGGTTATGTTGATTACCTCGGTTTGCCCATCGGTTTGGGGGTGATATGTTGAGCTCATGGTAGCTTGGTTCCTTGCAGCTTGAAGAATTCGGACCAAAAGTTGCTCATAAAGATCCAATCTCGGTCAGAAACTATTGATCGCGGAGCTCCATGTAATTTCATCACATATTCGATGAACAACCTGGCGATAGATTTGGCTGTGTATGGATGTGTAATGGGTATGAAATGAGCATACTTGGTAAGGCGATCTACCACGACCATTATTCCGTTAAACCCATTAGAACTCGGCAGTCCTTCAATGAAATCCATGGTGATGTATTCCCAGATTGCCTCGGGTACTGGTAGTTGTTGCAGCAACCCACTTGGCCGGCGTGAATCAGCCTTGGTGCGCTGACAGTCATCGCATCGCGCGATGTAATCTCGAACAGTTCCTTACTGTCTCGGCCAAAAGAAGGTGTTGGCTATCCTCATCCATGTGTGGTAGATACCCGAGTGACCTCCAACCTTAGAATTGTGGAAGTTTTGCATGATCTTCTCGCGTAGTTGTCCACTGTCGGGAACAAACACTCGGCCTCAATGTAGTAGTAGGTTGTTGTGCAGCTCATAATTAGCAATGGTTTCTCCTTTCTCAATCTTCCGGCGCGCTTCTTTGCAACAAGTATCCTCTTCTTGCGCCTTACAAACTTCCTCCCAGATGGTCCACGTAGGTCCAGTGATAGCATCAAGCTCAGCCACATCTGTCCGTCGGGATAAGGCATCAGCTACAGCATTCTGTCGACCTGGCCGGTAGACTATCTCAAAGTCGAACCCCATAAGTTTCGAGACAAACTTCTGCTGTTCAGAGGTAATAATCCTTTGCTCGAGTAGATGCTTGAGTGGTTGCTGATCGGTCACAATCCAAAAACGTCGCCCCAGCAGATAGGGCCTCCAGCATCTCACAGCCTCGACAACTGCTAGCATCTCCTTTACGTACACAGATAAACCCAGTCGAGTCGTGCCTAGTGCTTTGCTGAGATAGGCTAAGGGTCGCCCTTCCTGTACTAACACGGCTCCAATCCCAATATCACTAGCATCCGTGTGTACTTGAAACAAAACATCAAACCTCGGCATTGCGAGCACTGGCGTTGTAGTCATGGCGCCCTTCAGTTTCTCAAATGCCTCCTCGCTGGCCTTGGTCCATGTGAACCCTCCCTTCTTCGTCATCTTCGTAAGTGGCTTGGCGATGGTTCCATAATCCTTTACAAACTTCCGGTAATAGCCCGTGAGCCTTAGGAATCCTCTCAGTTGCGTGAGACTCGTCGGTTTGGGACGGTCGACCATAGCCTCTATCTTTTGTGGATCAACCGTCACGCCATTATGGGATATAAAGTGGCCTAGGTACTCGACCATCTCCTGCCCGAATGAACACTTGGACAGCTTGATATGAAATGAGTTAGCCTCCAAGACTTCTAGCACCACTCTCAAATGCTCCAAATGTTCAGACCATGATTTCAAATATACCAATATATCATCAAAGAAGACTAGAACAAACTTACGTAGATGCTCCTTGAAGATGGAATTCATAGCGAACTGGAAAGTGGATGGGGCGTTGCATATCCCGAATGGCATAACCAAATACTCATAGTTCCCGTGATGCGTACGAAAGGCTGTCTTTGGTATGTCGGCCTTGTGGAGTCGAATCTGATGATAACCAGCCCTCATATCGAGCTTCGAGAAGTAACGTGATCCAACCAACTCACCGAGCATGTCGTCGACACTAGGAATAGGAAATCGGTCTTTGATAGTCGCGGCATTCAGAGCTCGGTAGTCAGTACAAAACCTCCACGTGCCATCTTTCTTTTTAGCTAGCAGTACTGGTGAAGAAAACGGACTCTTGCTATGCTGAATTAACCCAGACTCTAGCATCTCAGCCACTTGTCTCTCAATCTCAGTTTTCTAGAAGTGAGCGTACCTATAGGGATGGACGTGTACTGCATGCTGCTCATTAACCAGGGGTATGCGGTGGTCGAACTCCCCGTGAGGTGGTAGGCCCTTGGGTTCTCCTAGCACTCCTTCGAATTCCTCAAGAAGCTCGCGGACATCGCCTTGCTGCTGTTCGGCCTCATTCGTGCGCGTATCCTTACTTTCGACCACGACTGCGTATATTTGACCGCCACTTCGCCAAACTCTTTGAAAACTCTTCAACCCAACTTCTTTCGTACCTTTCTCAGTGCCCGTACTCAAAGTGACTTGTCGACCTCCAGACATGAACTCCATAACTCCAGATCGGTAGTCGGCGGTGACCTTGCCTAATCCTTCGAGCCACTGTACTCCAAGAATGACGTCTGGTCCGACTAGTGGTAAAGCATAGAGATCAGCCTTTACCATAACTCCTTGGAACTTAATCGGCACCTTTCGAAACGACTCAGTGCATTGCAGCCTCTCACCATTAGCTACTCGAACATCAAAAGGCTCAATCTTCGTAGTTGGCAGCTTCATCTTCTGGGACAAGTCAGCATTAATGAAGTTGTGTGATGACCCATTGTCTACAAGCACAATCACCCTACGATCCTTGACCCAAGCTGGCAACCGCATCATCCTTGGCCCTCTAATCCCTGCCATTGCGTGCATAGAAATTTCTGTTTCTTCTTTGGGCACTTCATTCTCATCCTCCTGATGTGATTCTTCCTCGACCTCAGATTCTTCCTAATCAGAATTAGCAACTTCGATCACAAAAGCTTGCTTACATTGATGGCCTAGTGTAAATTTGTCTTCGCATTTCAAGCATAGGCCCTTCTCTCGTCGACGCTTGACTTCCTCGAGAGATAGCCGCCTGATTACTGGCCCCGGTGGTCGAACGTTGATGGCTGGTCGTGCACCCGCGGTCGTATGGATCGGGCCCGTGCGTCGGGTATCGGTGAATCGTCCATCCGCCCGTCCCCTTCGGGTTTCAACTAGATGGTCTTCGCGGCGTCGGGCTACCTCCATGGTTGTGTGCATCGTGTCTGGCCGCTCCAGTCGGACTGCTGTGGCTAGATCAAACTTTAGCCCACCTA